CGGGAATCGAACCCACTAAGGCAGCGCTTTTCAAAATTCCACGCGAACGGGTACCAGACCCGCAACTCCGTTCCCGTGGAATTTGTTAAACAGAAATTAAAAATCCTAAAAAATTTAAAATTAATTATGTCTTAATTTACAAATATCTTCAATAGCCATGGAGTTAACTTACATTTTAATTATTTGCATTTAAAAACCTTAGCAGTTAGTTAACGTTGTTTAAAAAAACAGTTGTCTAGTACCCATAGTACAAGCTCTGTATAGTTTGGTAGAATTTTATTATTATTATTCCTGTGGATGGTTTAATTTAATTTGAATTTGAACTTAAAAAATACTTTATTTTTTTTATTAATCTAGTTAAAAACTAGCTGACCCGGCAAACGTCACACATTACATCAATAGCCTCCAATAGTCCACTGCTGGACACAGGCCTCTCCTTAGAAAGGAGAGGCCTACAACGTTTGCCTGTTTTTAGGCAAACGTTGTTTTGCCTAAAAAAAATTTAGGGGTGGGTCACCCTTACCATTTAGGGGTATTTGAAATAGATGTTGGCCGATTCTCAGACCTACCCGATGTGCACTCAAAATTTCATAAAAATCCTTCCATCCGTTTCGGAGGAGTATGGTAACTAACATTGTGACACGAGAATTTTAAATATAAGATTAACAAAACAAAAAACGTGATGGCACTAAGGCCGTACGGTTTTAGCCAATTTGAGTTATAAATATGCGATCCTGACTATCCTGCTCAAGCTAGTGCTTGCATTCCCTAATCCCTCTGTTATTGTCTTTCCTTCTTATATATCTTTATTTTCAATATGCTTCCAATCCTCTCACCTTGTCTCGAAAGTGTGCCCTGTTGAAAGCAATAAACTTGCTCCCTGTGACCTATATATAACACACACTATCACACACAAAGACACACACACACACACACGCACACACGAATGCATACATTAATATCCATGCTTAAACACAGCGTTGACAACATTAGTGTATCTTCAATATCGGGACGCTTGGAGCACTAAAATACAGGCCAAGGCTTAGTTTAGACTACAGATCTCCCACAAATTACCAATGAAGCAAAACATTTGTCAACTTAGATATTAAGACTCGTGTAATTTGTGGAGACAAACAAAAATATATTATTATTATTATTCTCTTTATTTACTTTATATACATATTATGTACATTTTTAAACATACACTTTATAAAAATTAGGAGACAAACAAAAATATATTATTATTATTATTATGTAGTTAGGGCTAAAATTAGAGTGCGCAATATGTTGATTTTATGATATGATATAAAAATTATCGCTCTTTCTTTCTTGACTTGAGTGTATAAACATAACATAAATATAATGTTGCTTCATATTGATTGATACGTAAAAATAAATAACTCAATTACTTAATGTCTAACATACAAATAAAAATAAACAAGTATTCCTATTTCCCATCACTACATCAGGTGGAACGCTCCGCGCCGCGGGGTAACGAAGCTAATCTGTGTTCAAGTGTCGACAATTTGAGGCATAACAACAGAAAATAAGCAAGACAGGAGCCATGTCGTACTTAAATTGAGGTTTACTCCTTGTAATGAACGATGTTTATCGACCATTACTTACAATACGCTTATAATTTGCACATTTAAATAAATTACAGGTTTAATTTTGAATGGTGTATGTGTTTGTGACAAGTGGAAGTTCGTGAAATAAATATTTAAATGCATATTTCTTTTCAAACTTAGCTTTTCTATACAATCTGATTATTCCATAATTACTTCAAAGAGTCATAATGTGCACAAGTTAAAGACTTGTCTGGCGTCGGTAAGACTTGTAACAGATCACAGCAATGAAGATGAAGAAGTTATGTACGCAGACCGACTGGTCAAGTGGTTAGTAGTTTTATATGCCAAAAGTCGTGGGTGTGATTCTCCTGGCATTACGAATAATTGTTATTACAATTTTGTAGTTGATGACAAAGCAAATATCTACAACATCCTACCCAAAAATAATAGAGGCGCAAAGTCACTGGTATTATTCAAAAACCTAATAAAAGAACACATTTTCAAAGGCACCACCTCAAATTCATTCTAAAACTTATAACTACTAATGTAAAATTCATGCACTACTATTTTTATTATTTTATATGTATTTTTATTATTAATTATTCTTTTACATTGTCGTAAAATAAAACTGATGAAAAAAAAGGAGAAAAACGTATTTGTTTCATAAAGTAATTACTGCATGTAAACCTACCATTATATTTGCTCCACTACAAATCAGCATTCGACGGGACAACTTAATTTTAAGAAGTACCTACTTTGCATAACAATCAGTTTGGAATTATCTACCTGTCAACGATTACTTTTATGATTAGTATTTTATTTCTCCTTTAAGTGATTTGTGTAATCTGGAGAAATAAAGTGATATTTAAACCGTATATTAAAGAATAATCTTATAAGCACTAACTTGTGTTTTCAAGAGAAATTTGTCCAAAATATTTACATTCTCATTCTCATCTGAAGACTTACAGAGATGGCGGAATGGCGGGCATAGTCTTTCACAGAACACAGTCTAAAAAATCCGTGACTCTGACCGGGAAGGGGAAACAACTTTACAGTTGACAGTTGTAAAAAATACATTAAAATATTGTTCATTGGAAAGGAAGTCTATTAACCCTGTTAATAAGACTTTACAAAATTCTTATTAACGGCATGGGAAACTCTTTTGCTCGCCTGCGAATTGACAGAATTATAAGAAACAAAGCCCTTAATCTGTCGGGGACCTCTTATACTATTTTATCCATACGATACCCGAAATACTGCAGTTTAAAAGACCGATGATTTTTTTAAAATGTTATAGATTTTTTTTTAAATAGTCATAGGCTTTGTCACTGTCACATCAATTATTATTAGCAAAATCTTGTCTCCATTATTATATCTATGATGCATATAATCTATGTAGACGAAACAAAACCTGACCCTCTTTTTCAATAAAACACATGTATGTGCCGAAAACCAATAAATTATAAAAGCGACTAAGGCACTGCCGAATTCAGTGCGGTAAGCGACAATATTAAGCGCGGGTAAAATATTTTTTACCCATAAATTAAACGAGTGTAAGCGAGTTTTTCATGCGCCACTCGCCTAGTATATCGCAAAATTAAACACATAAATTGTGAACAGTACTACTTGAGATACATATATTTAATTTTGGAAATTTTATACTTAGTTTGAATTTACACACACTCATATTTTAGATGAATTGGTACTAAATTAATAAATACATTTAATCGGAATAGGACTAAGACTAACTTCTTAGAATTTTGACTTAGACTTTTTATAGTATAGACGCTAGTAGACCAGATCAGACCAGACCAGAATCTTGGTGTAAGCCACCAAGATGAAAAAGATTCTTCAAGGCGCACACGCTGCCTTCGACCAAACAGGTAACTTTGAAACCAATCAGTTACTGTTGAAGATATGTTAATAGAGCGCAATATGGCCAGCAAGATGTTGAAATCTACACTATTAAAAGCATTGCTAAAGTCCAGTAAGGAAATAACTGTGAGTTTTCTATTTTCCATTCTAAGCCTGATGGCGTCAGTAACATTGATCAACGCACTTGCCGTACTATGACCGGCACGAAAACCTGACTGGAGAGGATTTAGGAGGTTTTTATTAAGAAATGAATTTAACTGGATGTGAACAAGACGTTCAAGGACTTTTAAACGGAAGGGCAAGGACAGGAGGATGCGGGATTCTTCTTTTTAGGTAGTGGGATCCGGAAAAGTACTGGAAAAAAGGGAGGAGGGGCGGATATATATAAACTAAATAATGCAAATACAAAGAATTGTTAATCAACATAGTTAAAATGACGATTTATCTTCAAGTCCTCTGCATAAAAATTACATTAATATGTTACACAAAATATTAAAACGTTGTTAGTAGCTTGGTATGTATGTAACGGCATGATTTTGACCCACTTCAAAACGTCGAATTAAATGAAACTTCGCACACCTATCAAGGACCGATGACAATACAATAATTTGATAAATTTGGCCTATTATCCCCAATCAGGATCTTCAGGATTGAGGATTAACGGCTTTTACCATACCTATAAATACGGTAGCGTCTTTTGCTACGTGCTAAGAGGAGTGTCCTAAAGCATAATGTAACTTACATACTGGTTATCTTTTTAATCCTAATGAGAAAATAATCATCATTAATGACTATAAAAGCAAAAATAAATTACAGTTTAAAAAAACACGCTTTTGTAACTAGACGAACTAAATAATTGATTTTTTTTTTAACTTCAAAAAGAAAAACCATTTTATCGTAAAAAGCGTGGGGTGCTTTTCAATTTAATATATTTTTTATGAAAATGTGATTAAGTTTCATTTTTTTCATTTTTCAAAATGTACTCATAGTTCAAAGGACCGTTTTTTTGGCAAAATTTTATAATCTATTATTATATCTATATACTATTATGAAGAATTGGAGTATGATATGTGAATAAACAAAATTATGTATTCAGTTCATTGTTTGATATTTTCGTTTTACGTAACAAATGAAACATTATTCTTTCGCTGAAAAATGCATGCATTCCATCAAAAGTGATAAACATACGCTACATCAAACATCTGATACAGTCACTCTTTAAGCAGTGGTCAGTGAAACAATGATTTTGGTGAAATAATAAAAGTGCAAATGAGTAATAAAATTGTAAAAAGCATGTATACTTATCACGTCAAAGAAATGCTATTTGTTAGCACGTGTAAGCAATCGTTTATTAAAATAGGAGTATATTTTTCTTTAGTGCTTGTAGGTTTAGTGTTGACGATAATTCCACATCTACTTATAGAAAAAAGTTTGCATCATCAAAGAGTAAGGTATCCGACAGATTTAAAATATATCCTTTTCTATAGTCAAATAAAAAGACACCACAGAGGGCATTTTCATGTTAATAAAACTCCAGAATTTTCATCAGGACAAAGCATGTTCATAGCACAAAAATGTGAAAACATTAACTGTTTTATAACCTATGATAAGAATACTCTGACACATGACGAGGATTATGACGCAGTAGTTTTCGATATTGATAACCTCAAGAAAATAGATGTTGATCGTGTTAATTTAACTAGATCACCCCAACAAATATACATATTTCGGTCTTCAGAAGCTCCAGAAAAGTATCCTATTTGCAAACATGATTTAGACCATTTTTTCAACTGGACGTGGACTTACAAATTAAATTCTGATATACCACAACCTTTCTTTAATATTTATAGCAAAAATAATACTCTTGTTGGACCTAAAAAAGGAATGAAATGGATTGAAAAAATGCAGCGTAGCGATCAATATTCTACAAAAATGCTTAAAAAAAGTAAAGCAGTTGCTTGGATTGTAAACAAATGCAAACTGAAAAGTAAACATCAAGATTTTATTGACGAGTTAAGAAATGAATTAAAAGGTTATAATTATACAGTTGATCTTTTTGGCTCTTGTGGTACACACAAATGTTTTGGTACGGCTAAATGCAATAAGATGATCGAAAACAACTACTACTTCCAGCTTGTGTTAGAAGAGCATTTTGCAGAAGATTACGTGACTGACAGTATTGTAAACACTATGTCACATCTTACTATTCCTATCGTCATTGGAGCTGGGGATTATCGAAAGTTAGAATCTTTTCAAAACTCGTGATTGTCTTCATTCTCTATCTTTCGTTTCTATCTTTTATCATAAGTTTCTTTGTCATCTCCTTTATCTAAGTCATATTATTATTGTATTACTTAGTGCATTTTATCGATGTCATGAAACGCTATTGGTATTTATTTTTAATTAATTTGTTTTAGTGATATTAAAGGTGCAGCTTACATTTGATCTTTAATCGATAACAAATGAAAGACTCCTATGGAAATACAAGAAACATTAGTTTGTTTTAGATCGATTTATGCAAACAGTCCACGTGGTGACGGATTAAGAATACGAAGTGTCACCACCCCTATTTATCCCGTGGGTGTCGTAAGGGCCGACTAAGAGAGCAAACTACGCAGGACAAGAGCACTGCAAAAGAGAAGGAAATATTGACATAAACCCTTTACCAACCCGTCTGGCCAGCGTGTTATAGTAGGCCAAAACCTCCTTTCTAAGGAGAGGCCTATGTCCAGCAGTGGACTATTATAGGCTGTTGATGTGATGATGAAGTGTTATAGCTATTGTCAGCTTCGCTCTAGTGATTATTTCTTATTTCGTATTTCTAACTTGACGAAAATCACGAACTTGATACTACCGTTCATCCCTTATTTTAAGTGAAATTTCCAAAAATGCTTTCTTAGTGGTTGCTAATTATAAGCATCAGCTCCCAAAATTTCAAGTTTGTAGCCCCAGCAATTTAGGCTCTGCGTTTATGAATCAGTCATTTAATCAGGGAAAGTAATTTCATATATATGTATGGATGAGAATCGACAAAGGAAAAGTCGAAAGGTTTATTTTTCCCGAGGCATCTCGTCAAACTAGATTAGCAATAAATAATAGAACACATGTTAATGAAATATACTTATTTCCATTATTATTATTATATCTATTACGTATATTATTACTCTATTACCATTCTTTTAATTTCTAGCATGATCATCAACCATTAACTAAAATATCTCTTTTTTTTCAGTTTCTTGTCACCCGGCGCCTATATCAATGCCCAAGCATTTGATTTAAAAAAATTAGGTGCTCTCATAGACTATCTCATCAAAAACCCTGAGTTGTACGACTATTTCTTCGATTGGAAAAACCATTATTATTACAAACAAAGTCCAAAGTCCCAAGTTTGTACGTTGTGTGATAAACTTAACAAGAAAAATAAAACCAAAAGTTACAAACGATTCCGGTATTGGTGGAACCCTGATTATAAGGATATCTGTGAAAGGATGCGCTTGTACAAGATATTTAACAATGATAAAAAGAAATAACATAATATTATAATCCACTAAGTAGTTGGCTCGGACTTGAGGAAGAGGTGAGCGAAGAGTGTGGTGTGCAAGAATAAAACGTAGCGCGAAGTACTCATTTAGTAACTTATTGTAAAATATGTCATAAAAGTCAAAGAAGAGAATAGATTATTATAGTAATTAATGTAATTGAGTGATCTGAAGTTATGAAAAATAATAATAAACTTTGTTTTGGCAGAAATCAATGTGATTTTATAAATTTTTAATTTCGTGTTCACGTTTTTTAAATGACATTGTCATTACGTTTTTTTTTTCATAGCATGATGCACTCATTCTCACTCACAACTAAGACGTATCTATCGATACCTCAAACTCCAAAATCCATGAAGCCGTTTAGGCTATAGAGCGTGCGAAAGAAATATGATACAAACCTACATACACTTAGTGTTTTGATCGACATCACTTCAGAATTAACAAAAATCCCAGTCTAAAACGAATATGAATTTATTAGAAACGAACAATCGACGTCAGTCTGTAAATATTTGCAGAAATAAGCGGTACCGTTATCGTAGACGTAGAATCTTTTAGGAAAAGACGATTTTTTCTACAAATTTCTAGATAAACTTTGATTCAAAAGCACCCTGAAAGTTAATCTCACAACGGTAGCTGACCTTAATAAAGAAAATGAATATTTATCAGAACATTTAAATATTTAATTCTTGTCTCAAAGAACCTAACAAAGTCTTATGTAATCCATATTATTTTCACTACCCTCGCACTCCCTTCATTTTTGCATTAAAAAGGAGTGCTGATATCACTCCTCTGGGACGCATCTGTGATCGACATCTCCCAACTCAGATTTATTATTGAATACTTTTTAGCCTTCTTATTCACTCACAATGAAGGAACATCTATCTTCTTTACATTCAATGTTTTGTGCGTCTTATTTCGTTTTGATCGCTTTGTTATGGAAACTGGATGGATTTGCATTGTGTGCTTGCGTTTTCTGTTGAATTATTCGTTTTCGTTGTGATGTAACATATAGTTATGTTTTATATGACTTGAGTGCTACGTGCCTTAGTGACGTGACATAACTAGTGTGATTGTAGTGATTTTACAACAGATATGAGTAAATTCAAAATCACAAAATTTTATTCTATATGAGTATCCTTTAAATCACTATAAATAAAAACAATATGCTATACATTCTCCATACTAAATTTCAGAAATGTACAAATATGTATTTTTACGTAACACGTATCATTATACATTCCAATACTCAGGGTGTTAACACAAAGAAAAAAAACTCATTATACGCCAAACCAACATTAGAGAAACACGAAGATTATGATGAGTCTATAAACAAAAAGTCTCAAAATATTTGGTGTTAACAAAACCTCAACTAAAAATCATAACTGAAAAACATCAGTAATAAAAAATAAAAATAATTCTCTAAGCTTACCTTGAACTGGATTCTGCCTGCAACCTATGTTGCAAATAATTTTACAATAAATATACAACATAGAAGATTAACCTTTTATGAGAAACGTTTACGAGCAGTTTTTGATGGTCTTTTAAAACAAAGGATGTCCTACACCTCTGTTTCGAAAGAACCTCAAAAACATTTAACAGTATTTTAGTACAATATACACAGTAAAATACCCGTACCCGGAGAACTATATCGGAAAACAATAAATAAATAAACATCATTAATTTATAGTTCTTATCTTATGTAAAAGATCATGTGCATCCAATAAAACCCCACAATAATATTATTAATATGAATTTTAACATTCTGAGCTTTATAATAAATTGCAAACCACACAACTCATCTATTACGACCACAAATAAATACCACATAAGAGGGTGACTAAATAATCTGTGATTTCACATTCATCGTTTCAGTTTTAATACAGCCGATCAGCCATACGATTCTTAGATGTTGTTTTTATAATATACGAGTACGTGGTCACTGGCAGCTACGCTTAATCATGCGTAATTACTACTGAGTCCGGTTACTAAATCTATCGTAAAGATGCCTTTTAGCAATAAGAGCGCCCATTGTATTCATACACAATATTACTATTTAACTTCTTTGTATAAAATAAAGAATATTTAATTATATTCTTTATTCCAGATCCACCCTTATATAATCAATGGCAAATGTTAAACGTAATGTTGTATTAGTGGATAAAATACCTTATGTCCTTCTCACCAACCGGTTTTAATCAACACCATGAATGTCAACTGTTGTTTTCATAGTCAAATCGATGGCATTTGGTCAGATCCTTCCAATAACAAGCTCTGTTATTCGATACTTTACGAGACTCTTTACACTTGTGATCTTTAAGTTACCGTACCTTATAAAATCCTCTATTCAGACTAAGCCTCATGTAAGCCAGTACTCAGTTTTAAAACGGCATTTCAAGAATTATCAACCGTCCATCTTTTTTTGTATTTAATTTTTAATGCAGTAAGCATCAGATTCGTGACCTCCGATCTGTGAAGCATACGACGTGCGATAACAGAAGAAATACTTTTCTTCGGCAAAAACATTAGGTGGGTAATCACATTAGGTCACTGACCTCAGGTAGGTACATATATTCGTCATAAACAGACATATGATGTTTTGATAAAAGATAAAATGTTTTTGATTTAAATGTTTTATAATCATCACAATTTTATTGTTCATTTAAGTAACTGATGTTCCTGGTACTCTCCAATCGTATCTACCTACCTATCTATCTATCTACTGTTTTAATGTAAACCTGTAATATTAATGGCATAAAAAACAAAGAAACGAAGGAACACTCCTATCGATCGGAATCGTAAAAATTAGAACAAGAAAGCCCGTCAAAACCCTACCTTTCTTAAATAACAGAACAGTGACAAATCTCAACAAACAGAACTCAGACAGTACTACAACTCACATATATCATTGTCACCCCTGACGAGATTATATCTAGAGCAGGCAGCAACTTTCCGAACCCAATCGGTCGCCTGGGACGCAATCAGTTATTTAACGCTGCCCACAGAGCAGCGTCATATAACCAACTAGGTATTAGAGCCTCTGTACGAGTATATCGTGGCTTTTGAAGTTATAATTGAAATAGCAACTTTGATTTTGAAATATTTGGTTATCGTTATTAACAATTGTTCAATACTATTGTGTTCATTTTAACAAGTCATAAATTTGTTTTATTTATATAGTTTTTATATGAATATATTTTATTTCATGTCTTTGAATATTACTCTAAGTTCACACCATTCTGCCCATGCAGATCCAATGTTTTCTCCATCACATAGTTGCCTGACAGAGACTGCTATAGTGCGAAAAGCCATTAATTAATAAATTTCCCATATTGCAACACTCTTATTATTTAAAATATGTTGGTATACCCAGAAAATGTATAACTTACCATACAAAACATACCATGAAAAACTATTATTGCGATAATTCAAAATTGAATAGTTTTCGCAAATAAACTCATCAGTAATGAACGGGTGCAGTAATTCGTCTCATTTTTTTAGTGATGATATTAGGAATAAATTTATCAAAAAGGACAATTAGAAAACCTTGAAATCGGAGATTTGTGTCAAACTGCAAAGATTTTGAAAGTAAAAGCATTAATCAAACTACAAAAGTAATACAAATTTCTCATACCTGAAATTTACTTATAATTTATATGTAGGGAAAATTCAGAAACCTTAAATGTTCAAAGATCGTGTTTTATAAAGTTAATGTTACGTAAAAACCGCTACATAAGACCATGTTTATATTATAAGTATATTATAGTAAAAGCCCTATTAAATCGAATACTATAACCAAGAAAATCGTTTCTTCTTTGTTTGCCGTTAGTATCTTAAATAAGTATTACTTTATTGCAAATGTTTTTGGAACAAATCTATTTAAATTGTATTAAATCAGTAAATAGTCGAATATGTTCACTAGATACAGTTTCAACTGCGGGTCCAAGTGTGCATTTGCATGTGAACAACGAAGGTTTAATACGACTACATACGCGACGACACAAAGCAGAAGCCCTACCATTGTTTTAATAGTCAGCTATATTTAAGCAAATACACTATTTGGTATTACGAGCTTTATTTTTCTTTAACCTTATTTACTGCAAAAGTATATAGACAGTATTATTTTATTTACAGTGACGAACAGTAGAACTTTATTTAAATTGAGATATGGAAAGTTTTATGTTAATATTACACATCGAAAACCGATAATTTAAATATCAACAAGATATATCTATAAGGTATTGCTCTGTTAAGAAATATTTAGTCCAAAATGTCGATAATAACATATATATTTGTTCGCACATTTTATGCAAAACTTCTCAACAGTCTTCGAAAAGTCTGTTCGAGTTTCCAAAGTAGTAGTGCCAGTGTATTAGAGACGCAGGTGCGTGTTTGTTAGTTAACACCTACTAGTTGATATATCGTTAAATCTCGAATTCCGATTCAATTGCACTGTGTTCTGTACTGCACAATCTGAGTTTGGTTATTATAGGCGTTTAATTGGCTGCCACAATTGCCCTGAGGCCTTATTGTGCAATGTATGCTGGTTGGGTGTCGCTTGGTAGTAGTGAAGCGGCTAGCAGCGCTGCAGAAAGACAAAATGAGATCCTGTTTTCCATAATAATAGAAAGGGCAAATAAGTAGACGGGTCACCTGACCACCGCCGCCCATGAACGCCTGCAACTCAGCAGTCACAGGAGCGTTGCCAACATTTAAGTTGCGAGTATGCACTTTTCTCTCTTTTCTTTTTCTGTTTATAGAAATACTAGGCACTACGCGGCATATTATGCGCCACGTAGTACGAATCTACGGCAGCAGATGTAGCTGTAGCACAATCGACGTGAATAGCCTCTACCTCTAGCCTCTATATTACTCTACCTCTCTTGTCCCTGCTTCAAACCATCGGAAAATTAAGATCTAAGAAAGAAAGAAGAGGTACAGTAATCCAAATGTTATAAATTTTAATCAGCAATATTATATTCCCTCTTATTACATTAAATTCATTGAACATTCTGCCTGAATAGTAAATATTTTTGTCATCGAACTCACCTACGTCAAAGGCACTCATGAAGTAATCAAGTCACCCTGATGAATATTCGAGAACGCTTGACACTCCAGCTCGAGAGGGTGCCACTGAGCTAGCGATTTGAATTATGCCTGGTCAGGCCCTCGAGGACTTGCCGTGGTGATAATTAAAATATAGGGTCATGGCAGACGAATAATCTCATTCTACAGGTTTTTAAATATGGGATGAATTTTCTTGGGGAATATGTTTCATAAACACCATTCAGATAGTCCTGATTGCAGGCTTTGTGCGTTAATGTTTGCTTTCAGTCCACATAAAAAAAAATAGTTTTTTTATGTGGACTGAAAGCCTAAATCCTCAATAAAAAAAGATACATAGAATATACTTCATGACACAAATCTTATCTTAAAATTAGAGTACAATGGTCGGGTTCATAGCTAAAAGAAACTCTACCAGAATTTTTTTAGCTTGCGAAGATTATAACCGAAGTAGTTAGAAAACCTACTTATATATGTATAAAAAACAAATTACACCTCCGCTCAAATAACGTCACAATTAAAAAATCTAGACATCTAAAGTTAATTTCCTTTGATTTTTCATTTTTCGGTCGTTCCAAGCGGTTTTAATTTTTAATCAATCATCTAGTTACAAACTTGTTAATTAAGTAAATTCAAGCAATTTTCTTACTTGTTGTCCTAAAAATAAATGCCCTTTATCATTTTTTTTTAACATAAAAATACATATTTGTGATCGCAAAAAAATACTAAAAACGAACTTCATATGATAAAACAACAGAAGTCGCTTTTGTTGAGGTGCTGTAAATAAATACTGAAAAATGTATAGGTCTCGTCAACGTCGTCGCAAGTCGCAGCATACTTAGCATATCGTCGAGATAGCCCGCTCGAATATTCAACAGCTCTTTGTTGCTAACCTTACTTACTGCGATATGGTAATGACGTCAGTTTGTTTGTTCTCATATATAGTTCGATTTAACCATCATTCAACCATCATCAGTCCGTGTAGTGACGGATTAAGAATACGGATTTCATCCCGTGGGTGTCGTAAGAGGCGACTAAGGGCGCAAAACAACGCAAGACACCAACACTGCAAAAAGAAGGAAAACTTGATACAATCCCTATACCAACCCGTCTGGCCAGCGTGGTATAGTAGGCCAAAACCTCCTTTCTGAGGAAAGGCCTATGTCCAGCAGTGAACTATTAAAGGCTGTTGATGTGATGATGCGAACAATCATTAAATAAACGCAGTTCTGGATTGGAGACCGCGTCTAGAAAAACGTAGTGTAGGACATCCTTCGGCCAACGGCAGTGAAGATCAGCTCAAAACGATTTTGAAAACCTGAGTGAGGAGAACTGACGATCTAGTTCTGTGGCGTTCATTGGGAGAGGCTAATAATAAATAGTGGACATTTATGAAACAAAAACAATATTTGTAAAAATCATCCACTATCATTGTAATTTTCTTTACTTTCAAGAGTATAACTTATTTAAACCCATTATTTTATTTATATTAATGCAAATTCAAATTCTGATAACTCCTTTGTTTAGTTAGTACAACCATGGAGCAAATATAAAGAGTACAACTGCTAAAGAATATTTTTGAATATGAAAAACAGTAGACCTGTCAGTTCAAACTTACGTATTTTATTTATCCGAGTATTTTCCTAATACATATTACAATAAAATTTTAATTTTAAAGCTTATACGAAAGTTGTCTAGTCGTTCTCATGAACTTACTTGTCTTGCCTTGTCTAATAAATTGTTTGAGAGAACTACAAAAAGAGACAGAATTTAGACAACCAGGCAAAAAAATGGTACGTACTTACGTAAAATACTTCACGGTACAAAATTAAGTACATACTAATCAAATAAATTTAACTTTATCTGTAGTAGTTGCAATCTTCTACGGGTAACACGAAACTTTATCACGTGATCCTAAAGTAACCTATAGATTTTATTAGAATGAAAAGACCTTTAGAAGCTTTTTTCGGAGGCGTTCGCTCATAAATATCAACCACTTATTAAAACAATATCTATACAATATGTAACAAAAGCCTAACCTTTTAAAATAATAGAACCTTTAATAGTGACTACTGATGCGTTCAATGATTTTTTCACATTTTACTAGCATATTGGTTATCTCAAAAGGTTAAACCTTCATTAACTTAATTTTACACAGTTATATGTTCATTTATAGATGTTCTTTTAAAGCCATTTTGATTAACTTTTACTTTATTATAATGTAAACTTTGTTGTTTTATAATTTATACTGTTTAATTTATATATATTACTGTTCAAGAATATAGTAGGAAACAGGCTAGAAGATTTAAGAATTTTTGCAGTAATTTCCATTTAAATAAACTCCTAACACCCATCTGTAATTCCCAAAGTGCCAGGTCTACGGCAGTAGATTTGGTTTCTATATGTATTGTGAGTACAACTAATGTGAGTATTCGATACGCCTATACGATATATTGAAGATGTACCCTAGAGTGTATGTTTTGCATGTGAGTATATCGAAAAGAGAAATAAAAATAATCCGCCTATAAAGACTAGGTGTGTACCAGACTGCTACGCCAAAAGTTGATGTGTTCGATTCCCGCTCGAGTCAAACATTTGTGTGCATTAACATTTAATGTTTGATTTGGTCTGAGTGTTTTTATAAATAATATGTATGGATTCACAAGAAAAAAAATACGAGTATGTACTAACATCAGCTTTTAGTATCCATAGTCCAAGCTCCGCGTAATTTAGGACTAGATGGCGTTGTATGAAAGTGGTATAGAATATTATTATTATCATATCACTAATTTAAGGCATTCTCAAATATATATACATACATGTAATATTCTCGAATACATATTAACCCTAAACATCTAATCTTAAAAAAAAAGCTTTTTATGTAAAACTCTTAAAAACAGTTTTATATTTATTTTAAGGTCTCATTAATAAAGAATAGATCCAGAACGTATAATTTCTTTAAAAAAATATATGCATATTTACCATTACCATTATTCCCATACCATTATTTATATTAGTATATGGGTGGTTTCAACAAGTCCAAGTCATGTCAACGAGACGAATAAACAGTCCTAGAATTTTGCCGAATCCATCCGCCAAGCCATCCTGTCGATTATCATTTTTATTGTAAGAATATTTTACGAAATACTTTATGCCACATTGATAGCTCTAGAAATATTTTCGTAGGAAAGAACCTCGTCGTAAGTTTCTGCTCCTTTCGGCAGACATTTTTGTCTTAATGGACCATGGTGCCACCAATGCCTGAAGTTTTCATAATTGCTGAAGGAAGCAAACTTCTTGTAATCATTTAACAAAGTACAAAGTTTACAGAAACCTTTATTCTGGTCCACTCTGTTTATTGTATATAGTGACTTCCAGTTGAAATATTCGCGATATTTCGACGGTGTCTTTATCGTGTGGGCTATTATGGCGGCTAACTGTACTTCATTCAACCCTTGGTAACTGATGTAAGAGCCATCTGGCAGAAACCTGTAAAAATATTATAATTTAGGTTGTACTGCAGGTCGTGGGAAGCCGTTGGATGCGGGCAGCATAGGACGGGTTGTTGTAGAGAGCCTTGGGAGAGGTCTATGTCCAACAGTGGACGTCCTTCTTCTGAGGTGCTGATGAATAAAATGTACTTCCTCGTAGTCGTAAACATTGCTGCTAAACTAGCAAAATTAAATTAGCTTTCTGTTCGCTTAAACATGATAATCTCTTGAGTTATCATTAAAATTTGAATTACTCTTTTTGTATTGTATATAGTACTCGTTATGAAATTTAATAAAACTATGTAGCGCCTAGCTGCAGCCCTTAGGGGCAGAGCAGTGACCATAAACACAAGTAAACCTGCGAGGAACATCTAGTTGTATATATTTTATTTATATATTAAGATATATGTTCCAAAATGTCTTTCACCGATTAAATATATTTTTTTATTCGTGATCGTTGTTCACTGTACTAGTTTATTGGCAATACTGCAGTTAATTAACATTAAAAGCTTGCTTCTAAATGAAACGCAGATTTTCTCACAGTGATAGAGAACTTAAATTTTTATAAACTTGGGGGAGTAGGAAGCTTTTTTGTAATGAAATTTAAAAAAAAACATGAAAACAACAACATCAAGTGTCACGAGTCCCTCTAACTATAATAAAATAAACTAAAATTAAACAAAACTTGTATTTAAATACACACCTATTTTGGTATTAAAAACAAAATTACATACTTACTTGGTACAATCACCACCACCGATAATTATAGGGACAGCATCATTGTCGTACGCCATTAAAACCTCCTCAGTCAAATAATCTTCTGTAACACTGGATTCAAATACCAAATAAAAATAATAGCGCCTGCTAATCAGTTCCAAACATCCGCCTGGGGGACATGGGGTATTTCCACAACCATAAATATCTAGACTCAAGTCATGATCCTTCAAAGATGTACTCAATTTCTTTAAAGACATTAAGTTCGTGGCTTTAGGTTGACAATAACTCATTAACCACATGACAGCCTTCGTTTTCGTGTTCACCTCGTCAATGTTATTGAAAATAGCCGGTGATAATTCTGAATTCTTAGGCCATATCACTTTAGATCTTGGTGCAACCACTGTACCATTGATGTGTCTTACCTCTATAAACGGATTGAAAATATCCGATGCAGACTTGTAACTCCAAGTCCAATTGAAATAGTTATCTACTGTTTGGCTACATATAGGGTAATCTTCTGAGGGTAGTCTTGAATAAAACACGTATTTCTGATGTGGAGCGCGATGCTTTGGAAGAAAACGAGGGAGCCACTGACGTAAAAGACCAAAATGGAATACAATGGCGTTAAATTGCTCGTAACGTCCATTTAGAAGTGATTTATTTGTCGTAATGTAACAATTGACGTCTTTGCAGTCATGGTCAAGTAAAATACCTTGTCCATCTTGTACTTCAAATGTGCTATTTTCTGTTGTCCACACCAGTATATATTTTAAGTCATCCCCGAATCTCCATTCATACAAATCATGAGTCTTGCTTTTATATCCCTGCATTTGAGCTACGGTACTATAAGCGGTGTGAAATGAATAAAATGCCAGAGCGACGTACATAAATAGCCCAGTGAAGCTGACGAGGAAAAATAATTTTGCGAAGGTTTCGGTTCGAGAAACTAAATACATTTTTACAAAGTTGGTGCGGTCCGCGTCGCTGGCACAATGGAAAGAAACGTCGGCTTCATCTCGATAAATAACAAAGAATGCGTCCGCTGTCTCATTAAATGACAGCCAAAACAAAAAATTCTTTTGATTCCAAAATAAACAAAGAGACAGTGAGTTACGTCCTTCGCCGACACTCACATTCTTGAAGAGTTACGATGAAATCATTGACAACATTGCACGGCAATCAGTTTACGTAAATAATATCTTCTCAAAATCTGTAACGTAACATAGCACCTAATATCATAACTTACTTCTTATTTCTTACAAACTGATGATAAAATACAATTTTGACTGGGAGGTACTCGTAAAATATAGGCTTATATTAATAGTCTATGAGGCGGTATCCCTGTTATCCGTTTGGTGACGGATTCAGAGAATAGAAGACTGCAAAGAGAAGGATCAGCGGGGTATAGTAGGCCAAAAAGTCTATTCTAAGGAGAGGCCTATGTCCAGCAGTGGACTATTAAAGGCTGTTAATGTGATGTGATGTGGTGGTAGGGTATAATAAGCTACTGAAGATACTACTAAGACCTTACACATGCGATAAAGTGGTTGTAAGGTCAAACCCCTCCCACTGTACACCTATATATATTCTAGGCCGAAAAATAAAGAATGACATCTTAAATAAGATTATGTAATTATAGTTCAAAACCACAGCAATAAAAGTCGTCTATAAAAGAATCCTTTAAGCATATTTGTCCTATTGCTTTATACCAAACATCTAAAATTTTCCGTCGTGAAACCTCTCAAAGGAGATCCATCTGTCTGTCTGTTCGCAGCCAAAAAGCTTTCGAGAAAATTTTTCTATCAGCCGATGTCTCCCTCTATTTGCTAAGACCTGTTTCGTTAGAGGCATTGTTTGTTTCCGTTACACTTTTCATGTCAAAAGATTAATTTTATGTGAATCCATTTTCAAATACTAGATAAGTGACTGACTTTGAGAGAGAATTTGAAAATGGTTTTAAAACGAAATACTGACATTATTAATACATGAATATTTAGCACCAAAGATGAAATGATTATCAAAGTTTTTCTGAAATTATTTGATTAAAAATACAAAATTTTTAAAATCCTGGAATATGGCCTAAAAATATAGGGCAATTTGAACCGACGAGAAATTTGAATCCCACAAAAAACATTTTCATGTAAAATGTTGCCAAGACAAGACCATATGGCTTGCACTGTCCGAAATTTATCAGATCTCATGTACAGATAAGCTACTAACTCTATCCGTCCTAACTCTACAAGTCCTAACTTCACAAACTCTACACCTTGCATGGCCATGCAACAAGTTGAGACAATTCCTGGACACAAACATGAAAATGATAAAAATCGAATCCCCTTAAAAAGTTAAATTAATGCTATGCAATTCACTAGCACAACCTTACATGAGGACGGGCCTACCGACGTACATGCAATACGTACCTCAATGAAATATATAACTTCCAAGTAAGAATCCTGAAATATATAGTTCCTAAAAATATTCGGAACCACTACAACGATGACAACTTGGTCTTTTCAAACACAACAAGACCTTACCGGTTCAAACACAAGTTAAATATGTATCATTAAAAATACATTTTTTGCACTAAAATTAAATAAGAAATAGAACACTGTATACACACGTGCGGGTGCCCGAAACCATTTATAAACATTATAATATTTATGGTGAAAGAACGGCAGCCTACTTCTTTCCTGGTCCAATACCGACCAACCTGAATAATATTAAAAATAAACTCAGGTCTTTTTTTCTAAATGAACTGCCCAACCACAAGTATTTGTCTACTCTCGTATGCTAAGCTAGGTTACCTAGTATTAGCTTTTTTGCCTCGAATGATTTTATTTATGAACATATTTAGTATAAAATATCTAAATGCAGCACTCAAACACTATATAATATACTTGTATTGACTATTGTCTGCATATGAAGTAACGGTACTTGCTACAAACCTTTGTGATTTTACAGTACCAATAATGTTATTTTCTACCTCTATCGTTTAAGGATTAAATAAATTTAAAAAAAAAGTAAGAAGCACTTATTAACATAATGTATGCTTACATAGCTTAGCACACTTTTTTGTGTATGAGATCATAATTTATAAATATCTTATATCTCTTTAACCGTCAGGGTAAACAAGTTCTTGATTGGAGACCGCGTCTCGTCAAACGCAGTGTAGGTAGCCTACAGGCCAGGGCCTCAATTCTGCTATTTTATGTTCACGCCAAGCCACTGGCATACCACTGACACGCTATTGAGATGCCATCGAGTGGCCATTGGCATCGGTATAAATATCGGCAGTTGAAAATATATTACGTTTTTTGAGGAAATGATTTATTTACTTTTATTATAATAAATGATTAAAACAATAAAATTATAAAAAAAAGAAATAAATTAATTAGGTATTAAAAAAAAATATTTCCTTATAATTTGAAACTATATTACGTTTCTTGAGGAAATGATTTATTTATTTTTATTTTAATAAATTATTAAAATAAATAAATAAATTAAAATAAATTATAAAAAAATCTATATATAAAAAAAGAAAGTCGTGTTAGTTACACTATTTATAACTCAAGAACGGCTTTACCGATATGGCTGAAAATTGGTGAGGAGGTAGCTTAGAGCCAGGAGACGGACATAGGATACTATTTATTCCGAAACAAAAAAAAATGGATGCACGAACTTTGCTTTACTCAGAGATGCCACGTTATTATACTTGGAATGCTTCATCGAAGAATTTTCAAAGAATTAACTTACTAAATTCGAAAATCGGCTTATTTATTGCCTTTAAGGCGGAACAGAGTTCGCCGGGTCAGCTAGTAAAATATAAAAATTATATAAAAAAAAGAAATAAATAAATTATTAAAATAAAAATATAAAAATACACCTACCCTTTATGACTATAGACCTACATGTACCTATATACCCTATCAATCAAATTTCAGAGTTATAGGTCAACAGGAAGTACCCTATGAATTTCGATTCCTTTGAGAGTGTCACGAAATTTGCGTTTTTTGCGGCATAGACGACCGTATCTTTTTTTACGTTAACTGAGGAGTTTGATTATTTTATAGATTCTAGGGACTATAGACCTACATGTGGTCTATAGTCCCTAGAATCTATAAAATAAGTTGACCTATAACTCTGAAATTTGACAAGTTTAAACCATTTAAACCATTTATTTTTGCTACACAAGAAACATAAAACATACACGGATACAAGGCACATTACTAAAACACAAAAAACACATTATTTCCCTTATAAATCTCAAGAATAATTAGAGTAATTACAGGTTTTGGAAACTGAATTTCTTGAAAAGCTACCAAAAAACTGTGAGATTCGATGCCTGAACTATTTATAACATGTACCTAAAATGTGTAGGGAACCCTCGGTGGGCGAGTCTAATTCGGTTTTGTCCGTATTCTTTTTAAGTAGGTCTGTAGACCTCATTCTAAGATTAATATCGTGCCGTATGATACGTTGAAAACGAACCCCGCTCTTTGCATGTAGGACGTCGAGTCTTCGGCAAATATGGACATCGCGTATGAAGTCAAACAAAATTACGTATTCCATAAAAATATACCCCTTTTGCGCACGTGACAGCGACGACGTGTCAATATGAACTGTGCATGACTGTAGTTAGTTTTACATAAATACGAGTACAAACTCGATAGCCTTTGAAGCGACTTCTCCTGTGACGACAATATAAGTGAATATTCTCTTTTTATTAGCATTTTAATAACAACTATGAAGCCATAACATTGCAGCAGTTTAGTTAGAATTCTATATTCATAGCAATTTTACATAAAAACAGAAAATTAAAACAATTATTTCTTTATCCATCCGGATTCATGTCTGGTATTTTATTTATTTATTTCATAAAGGTATAGACTGAACCAAACCAAACACTTCTTCTCTTCTCCTACAAAAGGAAACCACTAAACAGGAGCAAATGGTTTTTTTTAGTTATGGCCTGCGTTTAATAACGAGGAAAATAAGTGTTTATAAAATATTCGGTTAAAGTAAAGTCAAACTAAGCCAGCAAAGCAGGGTTATTTTACTGTTCTTACTTTGCGATCTACTTTCATAAAGTACTATTTTTTACCGACTAGGAAAAGCTACATTTGCTTAGGTCTATACTAGAGATAGTTCTTTTGAGAATAAATTTCATTATATCTCCCCTTTTAAAAATCCCCAAACAAGTTATAGATTGATACATTATGAAGGTAAATATTCAGAGACAAACCACAACGGCATTCTAGTGAACAACATTCCAGTTATTCGACTGAGAATAGCTGCATACCGGTGGTCCACGACTCACGATATAATCTCGCTTGTGTCTTAAGCTTGGCTATTATATAGACAAATTTATTATTAAGACAATTTACTGTCTATTAGGATAACATTAGCTAAACTATGTTATAATGTTACGTAGGTCTAGGTGTGATTAACAATAACAGAAGCGTCAAATATTTAACAAAGGAGATATACCTACCTAATCCAAGTCCTTTATTCTTTTACTAATTATAAATTTAAGCAATAAGTAAATATAAGAAAAAAAAAAGAAAACAATATATTTTCAACTTAGTTACTAAATATTATGCAGAGGAATCTAATTTTACAAAAAATTTATGTTTCGAGGCGTGTTTTCTTCGGCTCTACTATTATACCTACAGTATTTATCTTTTGAATTGAATTGAATTACTGATTGCCAAAATCAAATATATTTTCTTCAAAAGTTAAGCTGATAGTGATTAAACAATGAGAATACATTCATTAGTAAATTTATTATTTTGTTTAGCGATATTTTTACTAACAGCTAAACTTCCTTAAC